CTCAACTACAACAAGTCCACGGCAGAAAAACAGCACCAACCATGACCGTGGACATGGAAAAGTGCAAACGCATAGTACAATACTTCTGGGACCCAGAACCCAGAAATGACATACCTGCAGCTTCAATATGGTGCCTAGGCAGAGAGTATGCCCCCCCGCAACCACCCAGTGACCAGGACAGTGAGTTTTGCTCAAGTGAAGATATAACTCCAAGACCAACCTTCTAATATCCCATATAGCCAACAACCCACACAGCTCCCCAGAAGAGCCCGATGCTAGCATATTGAATGACACAGAATGGCCCAAGGCCTTTCTCTCTGATTTTGGATCGAGAATATGGATCACATATCGATCAAACTTTACACCAATCCCACGAACAAAGACACCAGAAGCAACATCCTCGATGACACTGGGAGTACGTCTGAGAAGTCAGCTGATGGACCCCCAAGGCTTTACATCAGATACAGGGTGGGGCTGCATGATCAGATCTGGACAAAGCCTTTTGGCAAACACATTTTCAGTTTTACTACTAGGACGAGGTGAGAGATCCTTCCGATCATACCCTCGCCCCCAAAATACACCACAACAAGAGCTAACCAGATATACTAGACTGGCGTCGAGGGGAGAAAGTGGAGGAGGAGTCAAAGCTAATATCGATGTTCGCTGATCATCCCGATGCTCCATTCTCTATACATCAATTTGTCGATCGCGGTGCAGAATCATGCGGGAAATACCCAGGCGAATGGTTTGGGCCATCGGCAACTGCTAAATGTATCCAGTGAGTGTTGCCAAAACTCGAGCTATAGAGTGATGCTGATGGTGATAGGCTACTTTCAAATCAAAGCGAGGCCCCCCAACTCAGGGTCTATGTAACCAATGACACATCGGACGTCTATGAAGACAAATTTGCACACGTGGCCCACGATAGATCAGGCCGAATTCAACCCACGCTCATCTTGATTGGAACTAGGCTGGGGATCGATAATGTCACCCCAGCGTATTGGGATGGACTCCGAGCCGCACTGACATATCCCCAATCCGTTGGCATTGCAGGGTAGGTCCATGCGTCTGTTCTGATATAAAGCGTGTGCTGACCAAGACAGCGGACGCCCATCGGCATCGCATTATTTCGTGGCTGCTCAAGACTGCCACCTCTTTTTCCTTGACCCGCATACCACCCGACCTGCAACATCATACCGACCAGATGGGCTCTACACCAAAGAGGAATTGGATAGCTATTACACCGGCCGACTACGGCGAATCCATATCAAGGACATGGACCCCAGCATGTTGATTGGATTTCTTATCAAGGACGAAGACGATTGGGCCGACTGGAAGAAACGAATCCAATCCACGCCTGGACAGCCTATTGTGCACATCTTCCCCAGTCAGCATCAGCCAGATCATGGCTATGGTCGGGCAGAGGCTCTGGATGAAGTTGAGGCGCTGGATGATTCAGATGAGATGGAGTAAGATAACAGACAAACCATGAGATGAAAGGCACCCATGTTCATTTTTAGTTGGCTTGGAACATTTACCAGGAAAGAGAAATAGAATGATGATGCAATGCAATTAAGCATTTGGAATTTCGCGTTCTAGTAGGGGAGGCCAATCCATGCCTGCCCCAGACCCGAGTTATGTTACACCGCATTCACGTATCGAGTGGTAACCATTCAAAAAAAAATCACCCATCGGGGAAAAGAAAATTCAAGCCATCCCATGACGCATTAGAAACCCGCAAAACACCCATAACCGACCACCTCAGAGCCCATAACAGATCAAGAGGTAGTAAAAACAAAAGCAAGCTGGAAAGAAAACGTAAAGAAACCGCTTATTTGGCGGAAGAAGAGTACTTGGTCACAGCCTTGGTGCCCTCAGAGACGGCGTGCTTGGCCAGCTCACCGGGGAGGATGAGGCGAACAGAGGTCTGGATCTCCCGGGACGAGATAGTGGACTTCTTGTTGTAAGCAGCCAGCTTGGAGGCCTCGGTAGCGACACGCTCGAAAATGTCTGGAAAATGAAGTTAGAAAACGTGACGTGGAAGAACGCGTAAACGCGTGCATTTCGCGAAGAGGAAAACATACCGTTGACGAAGGAGTTCAAGATAGACATGGCACGAGTAGAGATACCAGTGTCAGGGTGGACCTGCTTGAGGACTGAAAATGGAGTCAGTATGGACGCGTGGTTTTTCTTTGAAGACTGATGTCGCGTTCAGGAATCAACTCACCCTTGTAGATGTAGGAAGAGTAGGTCTCCTTGCGGGTCTTGCCGCGCTTCTTCTTCTCGCCAGTGGCAGTGGTGGCAGTCTTCTTGCCAGCCTCCTTCTTCTCAGCAGGGGCCTTGCCGCCAACGGGGGCCTTGCCACCGGTGGAGGGCTTCTTCTCAGCGGCCTTAGGGGGCATTTTGAATGTGGATTTGAAAAAAGGTTGGTTGGGAAAAAAAGAGTTGGAAGAGTTGAAGTAAAGATGGATGAAGCGTGTGGGTGGGAAACAGAGATGGAATGTGGAAGGGTAAGTTAGAGAGACGCGGTGACGAGGGGAGACAGCGTCTTTATACTCGTGTTCCAAAGGTCAGTTGATCCTGGAGGGGGTGCAAAGGAGGACGAATTTCAATACGGTAAGAGCCTGGTATGATCTGTATGATTAAACCGACATTGACGCGTCTTAAGGTGGGAAAGACGGGAAAGGTGGGGTAGGATCACAGTCAGCTGACTGTCCGGTATGGTAATGGCCTTATCTTACCACATCATTCCCAAAGCGGAAGGTCTGATCTGATTGATCATTGGCTACAATGTCTAAGCGAGGCCGTGATCTGGAGGGCCCATTGATGCCGTCCCAACGTCACCCTCACCGCGTCCTTATAAAGGTCCTTCGCTTCCACACGCTCTCCCAACTGCTCTTGCGACTTTACACCATAACCCAAGCTTTTCATCTTCAACAAACAACTTCTTTTCTTTCCCCAACCCCCCCTTTTTCAAATCCAACCATCAAAATGACTGGCGGAAAGTCCGGCGGCAAGGCTAGCGGCAGCAAGAACGCGCAGTCGTGAGTTGTTTACATTTCGCTTCTTACATATGCGTTTCATACTGACATCAACATCTTCAGTCGTTCCTCCAAGGCTGGTTTGGCCTTCCCCGTTGGCCGTGTCCACCGTCTGCTTCGCAAGGGCAACTACGCCCAGCGTGTCGGTGCCGGTGCTCCCGTTTACCTCGCTGCTGTTCTTGAGTACCTCGCTGCTGAGATTCTCGAGCTGGCTGGAAACGCCGCTCGCGACAACAAGAAGACCCGTATCATTCCCCGTCACCTCCAGCTTGCCATTCGCAACGATGAGGAGCTGAACAAGCTTCTGGGTCACGTCACCATTGCCCAGGGTGGTGTTCTCCCCAACATTCACCAGAGTACGTTCTCTCTCAAACCAATCGTTTCTTTTCCACCATGCTAACATGAATCTCAGACCTTCTCCCCAAGAAGACTCCCAAGGCCGGCAAGGGCAGCCAGGAGCTGTAAGGGTTTCTTTTTTTTTTCGCGGGTTTTGTTTGCTTTCTTTTCCGGCGCGGATTGGTTCTTTGACACGATAATGGGGTTATGGGACGGGCACGTTATGGCTCTGCGTTTTCTTTTTTTCTTCCATCAATTTCCTGGTTGTACATTATGTCTACGGACATGAAATGATACCGACGACCTTAACTCGCTTGAGGGATTTCAACTTTCGGATACTAGCTCTGGGCATGAGCCCAAATCAATGAAAACTCCAGGTATTTCAATTGTTAAGAAAAAGTTTACTATATTGCCTTTCGTACTTCCTGTATACATTGTACATATAAACGCGATCCTTGGAGACTTGTTGCTCTCGTGGTGGCTATTGTACATGAACGAAATTGCTTATTTTAGATTCTGATTTGAGTACTCTACATTTGCAAGGAAGATACGCATAGTTCATGTTGCATCATTTCATGTTTGCAATTGGCCCAATCCTCATTGTGTTTTGCGATATTACTTAGTGTGGACCGGGAGGTTGGGCATCTATATTGTTTCAGGGTTAGTGCAAATCCAATGTTGCATTGGGGGGGGGGGGAAAATAAAAATAAATAGGGGGGGGCCAAAAAAAAAAAGCCCAAACCCCAAGAAAGGCCAAATGAAAGCATCGGGAAGTAGAAACAACAAATAAACAAACAAAATGAAAAACCAAAATTAAAAAA